CATAGTGAAAAAGGAAAAAGTCTAAGTCTGACGGCATCATTTGACACTCCATATTTAAAACTAGCATACAAATCTAAAAAACTAGCAAGGTGTAAGTTAGAATCTTTAGTTGGTGTTCCCCCAAACTGATTGTTTTGTACAATTTGGATTATAATAGGTTTAAGCTCAAATGAATTGGCCGTTACAGCAGGGTTTTGTATACTCAAATGAATTTCACCGTTACAGCAGGGTTTTGTATACTCAAATAAATTTCATCTGTTGTAAGATTAATATAATCTTTTAAAGGTCTCTGATGATGTTCATTTTCATTTCAAGCATTACTTAAGTTGCAAGCCATTTTGTTAAAATGATTTATCTCTTTTTGTTGTTTTTGAATTTTTTTTAATAGTTCTTTCTAACTCCGAATCATAAGGTATTAAATCTTCAGATCTTACACTACGCATAAACAAACACAATAAGTATTTTAAAATAAGCAAACACACTAAAATATGAAAATATTCGAACTAAACTGCAAACACATTTTTTTAGTTTAAAAATAAAAATAATTTAAATTGTAAAATAATTTACAAATACTTTCTGTTACTTCCCCAACCGCGTCGCCAAAAACTTGTTGTGGGTGGATTTAGTGTGTTAATTTTACAAATATTTTCCAAAATTGCAAAATACACACGACTATCAAAATTGCAAAATACACATGACTATATATTAACAAATATGCAATTTAATCCTAACAAAAATAACTTTAGTGAAAATAGTTTTATCCTTTAAAAAACTTTAAACTGCCAAATCTCCTAAAAATAAAGCAAGTATACGTATTGCTCAAGTAATAAATGACACTAATGGAGTCCTAGATATCGATCTCATAGGGAATTTGGAAATGCTTATAAGTAAATTCTTAAAATTATAATGTAAACAACAATTTTAAACTACAAAAGTGAAGTACAAAATTTGAATCTAAAGTAAATGAGTGAATGCTAAATAAAATACAGTTAAAAGACTAAGTTAATTAAACTAATTGTTAAACTTTCAAAAGTAAAATTTACGAAAACTAAATAAAGTTTTTTTTTTTGGTAAAGAGTTCAAATTTAAGAGAGCATCCTTCCCCTTTACAATGAGTATATGGTTTGTGAAGAAATTAAAATCATTTGAAAATATATTTATATATAAATTGTTTTGTGTCAAATAGAAGCAATCATATTCTTTACCCTCTTCCAAGTGCATAAAGAACATTGACTAATCCAGAGTTTGGTCCCTAATTTCGTGCTTAGGCTGGGAGGATACCGACAGCCACTCCAAAGCTCCCACTAGTCCCTCACATGAGGGCTAACAATCTCGTATTAGTTTCCAATCAATTGAACCAAATTGGTGACTTTAATCTGTCACCTTAAAATCTCCAATTCCGCATCCAACAAATTATATTTTTCTATTTATTTGCACTCAACCCCATGGATGACATCCTCTCCCATGAAATCAAATGTGATTCTTTTCATGTTGTAGAAATCATAGTCCTTTTGAAACATATGTTTCTCAACACATTTTACCATTTCAATTGGTCAGATCAAAAAGTAAATGAAGAATGAAGTTCAAATCATCACAAATTATTGACATTTAAAACCACATAAAATAAAATCAATTCTTCACAAAACCATATCACAAAGTAGGGAGAAGGATAAAGAAGTTTACTCAAAATTCATGAGAAGGATACGACAAAACACAAATTTCATATATAAAAACAAGTTTACAAAACAAAGAATAACACAGGAAATAAAAGACACAACTTATCTCATAATCCTTCCAAGAAAATCCATAAAAGTTCTCTTTAAGCATTTTCTCTCTTTAGAAGAACTCTCAATTCTCTCTTAGAAGTGTAATGAAGAAGAAATCTCTCATCTTCCCTCTCCTCTTACAATCCTTGAAGAAAATCTCCAAGCCCTTGACTTTCTCTCTCTATCTCACGCTAATCTCTCTCTTCAGCCCCTCTATCACGCACCACGCACCACTTACCACTTCAAGCCCCAGACTTCCCTCTCTTTTATTAGAGTTTGCCCTCTCCAAAATGAATTCAAAATTCCCTCCAAAACTGTCCAAAAGTCAATCCTTTTGAATTCAAAAACATGTTTATTGATCGAAGAGACATGTCCCTTCATTAAAGACCTTTCAAAGTATCTAGATGCATTGAATCCCTGCATGGGGCGTTTAGAACAAGTGTCCCTTTCAACATTCGCGTAAAATTCGTCTTGAACCACCTTAATCCACAAAAAGTCATCTCTGGCGCTTCAGGGGCTTCAGACGCCAACTAGTTTAAGACCACGCTGTTATGAGTTTTGGCGCTTCAGGCGCCAAATTTGGCGCTTCTGGCGCCAGCTCTCTATCAAATGGCACTTCAGGAGCCAGTTCTAGCGCTTTAGGCGCCAACTCTCTGTAAGGTGGCACTTCAGGTGCCAGAATCCCAAATTTTGTTGTTTTAGCTCCAAATTTTGTCATTTTTGCTACTTGTACTTAAATGCCTAAAATTGATATACCTGCAATAAAAACATGAAAATACCATTTTTTTTTAAATGCAATATCACCATAAATAAACATAAAATGTATATTTAACCCCACTGAACATACAATCCAACTTCTCCAAGTTCAACTCAATGCCACAAAATTTGAATTTCTTGGTGGTCAGCATTGCCTGCAACATACAAACAAGTTTATTACTTAAAACAACTTAGTGGGCTAAAAAATGAAAAAACAAGTCTTAAGTTGATAGCTTATTACATCCAATTTCTCAGTCCACGATACCTCTGAAGCATCAATAGTCTGTTTGATTGGATCTCAACCGAAGCCCGTGGATCGCCATTTTAGTTCCTTCCATAATTTCCAATTCTTTTTCAACTGATCTCACTTAATCTTAAATTGCAATATATCATACTCCATTCCTGTCATTTCCTTAAACTTCTTCATAATATTATGCTACCCTTCTTTGTTAAAGTAGGTGGTGGATCTATTTCCTAGCTCGACCTCCTTAAGATAGAGGGAGCAAAATTATTATTGTGACTTCTCTATCCCACATGGCTAATGAACCAATTTCTTTGGTCTCAACCATTGAAAGGGAAAACATTAATAATCACAAACCCCCATCAACACAGCCACAACCATCTCCCCTACACAGCCACAACCCAACACACCCCTACACATCTTCACAACACACACACAACCCACACCGCCACCAACACACACCCATAGCCACCACCTCCACCACCAGCCACTCCAACAAACACCTAACCACCTCCCCTGCATACCCACAATCACCTCCCCTGCCTACCCACAACCCACTAATAGCCACCACCCCTACACACCCACAACACACACCTCCACCACCAACACACACCCACAGCCACACAACCACAACCACCCCTCAACAATCACACACCCACAGCCACCACCTCCACCAACAGCCACCCTAACACCCACAACCACCACCCCTACACACCCATAACCACCTCCCCTACACACCTCCCACCGAACACACACCCACCACCACAACTACACACCCACAGTCACACAACCACAACCACCACCTCCACCACCAGCCACTCCAACACACACCCAACCACCACACCCACACCCACACCCACACCCACCTCCCCTACACACCGACAGCCCACTAACAACCACCTTCCCAACACACCACAACTAACAACCTGGATGATATACATGAAGTCTCAAAGAATGGCTGAGCTGATCCAACCATCTATATCACAGAAAAAATACTCATGTATGACAGGACTGCCTCATAACAATCATCATAACTACCATCGTACTCAGCACACTTCTCTCATCAAATTTGATTAATTCGACATTTGGTAAAATCTAAGGATTCCTCATCATGCGGCATGAACAAGAAATCATCTCTAAATCAGGTAATCAAATGCCCTGATGTTGCTTACAGGCTCATTCGAACTCACAAAAAAAAAAAAAAAAAATTTCCTTAGCCTAAAGAAAGTTTAGAGTTCAATGAAAGAACCATGAGCAATGAATGTGACAAGTACACTAAGGCACCCGAAACAATGCTATTGAACAAATCAAGCACCCTATTTCATCCATTCTTCAAATTATCAGTAAAACATCAAACCAACCTCAAAAACCCCATCAATAGAAAAAGCCAAAAAAATGCATAGAGAAAGTCATTCCATCAAAACTTACCACATGATTAACTACAAAAATATCTACAATGAAGCATCCTCTTCCATCCATTTGTCACATTCAAGATCAAACAAAGAAAAATAAAAACAATAGGGAACATAGATTTTAGGCAATTACAGCCAAGGAAACCGAAACAACGCTCCTAAACAAATCAAGCACCCCATTTCATCCATTTATCGAATTCTCAATAAAACATCAAAACAAACTCAGAAACCCCATCAATGGAGAAAGCCAGAAAACACATGAAGAAAGCTATTCCAACAAAAATTACTACAGAAATCTCTACAGTAATCAGAGATCAGAGGGAGTACGAAGAGGAGAAAGGGAATGTTATGCATGAAAGAGATAAAGGCACGAGAGAGAGTACCCAAGGTTTCACGAGAGCAATCGACACTAGGGCAGATGAGGCGAGAGAGGCACGAGATCAAGAGTAGCGAGATAACTATTACGCAAACAAACACGGGCCGCGGGGTTAAACCCTCGGCCACGTTTAATAGAATATCGTTACAGATTATTAGGATAAGCTCCCACGCCACACGAAACAAACGCTCCCGTACGCGTTTTTAAAATGCACCGCACCAAATAAGCTGTCCCAAACGAGCCCTTAGTGATATAGCTTTAGTTTGGGATTCCATATACACTAAAAGCACAAAAAATAACCCCTCTCAACACGCACTACTGCAAAACAGGAGATAATTCTAAGCAGTTTCCACCGAAGCTACAATATTGGTTTTATTGTATTCCATAAAACCAGCTCTTATCTGATTTTCATAAAACTCTAAGAAGTTCAACCTAAATTTTCAAAACAAGCAGGTGAATTGAGCATATCATTTCCTTACAACTTGAAATTAAAGTAACACTAGAGACACCAGCTATATTACAAATATTGAAGAAAAATATACAGCTTATTCACGTACATGTTTTATATTTGCAACCTCGTTCACCTGGCTTACACTGCAAGCATTACATTCATTAAATTCGATGAAGTTTGAAATGGAACCAGTTGCCTTAATTTTATTTGGAATATCGATTTCATCCTCTCCCCATATTTCTGCATCTGACTCTGAATGTAGGGTGAGAAGATCATCAGAAGAATAAGGACAGGATCTGCAGAATGTGTCATCATCAGATTCTGAAACACCATCCAACGGAGGTTGAAATGATTCAGAAATTAACTGAAATGATGGAAAAATAGCGTTTCCCGTGTTTCCTTCTTGCTGACTACTAATAAATTCCAGATTCAGATTGGGAACATCTGAGTCATTCATTTGTTGAAGAGAGAATTTCATATGTTCCAGTGGCGGAGACTGATATCCTGAAGAATCAAAACTGTGACATACAAGCTTCTCTGAAAATCCATGTGCAGAATCTTCTTTGTTTCCCAATTTATGTGATGGAACCGAAGATACTGTTAGTTTGGTCCTTTCATTATCCTTGCTATTATTTTTAGTATTATGTAATTTGTCGACATTATTGCTCATCAGTTCATATAATGGGCCAATACCAATCATTGGTGATTTCCTTGGAAGGCTACTTACAAGAAATCTACGCGCAAGGCTTGAAAAGCCAACTGACATGCTGACATTTCTTTGTTTTGATAAATTATTTTTGGTATATATATCAGCTTCAGAAGAAACTATATCACCTTCTTTTCCCTGAACTCTGTCAATTTCTGAACCTGTGCCATTAAAGTATGCATTTTGAGCTTTGTCAAACTTACAAAATGAAGAAGCTTGAATGGAGCCTTTAGCACGTTGCTTGGAGAGCATAGAATCACTTTGATCATCAGATATTTTACATATAGTGACATCTCTTTGGGGGTAGGATATTAGATTCAATTTATTAGTCTCGAAAAACAATTTTTTTGAATCATTTCCACTAGCGAAAACACAGGGTTGTGAGTTTGCAGCTGATCCTCCATCATAATTATCTTCACCCATATAAGTATTTGGAGCACTAATATCTAAAGGTTTTGAAGGTTCAAGTCCCAAAAGACCTCCATTGGTCCATATATTTATTGAAGATTTTCTACAGGAGTCACCTGGAAAAACTTGAGACACTACAGCTGTGGCTGCAGTAACATCAGAAGGTAAGATCACTGGTTTAATAGTTAAATGAGCAGATACAATGCCACGGGGATCTTCAAAATCATTTCTAGGTGAAGAATCATTAATAGGACTTCTGGAGCTAGCAACATCAGAACTAATGGTTGAAAAACTTAAATTGTCCACATTATTAGAGATGATCAGACCACATGATGTTGAGGAAGCACAGGCATCTGAGGAACCGCAAGAAGCTACATGAGTTTCAGAATTGGGGCCATCAAAATTTGAAGTAGGGATCACCATTTCCATACTGATTTGATAAGTCCCTTGGCAATTTGAGTTAGTCATTGACTCTGTTCCCTGTTTATTTTGGTGTTTGGAAAGCACCTCCTTTTCTTTTGCAGTTTTTGCAGAAGTATCACCACAAGAATCCTGAGCCAAGGATTCTTCAGGTGGGATACCATCAATGATCTCAACCTGCATAGTAGGAAAGATAAACCCAGGACAAGGGCCACCGTTAAGAAATGCCAACTGTGTATCAAAATCGGAATCATCCAATTTTGAAACTGCAATTCCGTTCTCCATACTGCTTTGATATTCAGTCCCTTGACAATTTGAATCATCTGTTGACCCTGATTCCTGTTTAGTTTGGAGTCCCCAAAAGACCTTTTTTTCACTAGCAGTCTTGGCAGAAGTTTCACTGAAATAATCCTGAGACGAGGATTCTTTAGGTGGAACCTCATCAACGACCACAGCCAGTGCACAAGGAATGATAACCGCAGGAAAAGAAGCGCTGTTATGAGAAACTGCATGAATTTTAGAATCCGGGCAAACCAGTTTTGTAGCAGCAATCACCTTTTCAGTACTAGATAGAGAATCTGCACCAAGACAATTTGAATCAGCTCTTGACTCTATTTCCTGTTTAGTTCGGTGTTCACAAAGTGCCTCTTTTTCACCAATAGTTTTACCAGATTTATCGCCAAGAGAATTTTGAGCCAACAAATCTTCAAGCGGAATCCCATCAAAGGCTCCAGCTTGTGGTATCAATCCAAGGCAAGAAGTGCTGTCAATCCTTTCGGAGTCATTTTTCATAGTACAATCATCAGTCAGACATTCAGATACGGAATTTCTAACAGAATAAAGCAACATATTCTCAAATTCGGGAGGGCCTGATGACTGCAGATGATCAAAAATAACCTGAAGAGGGAAATTTTTCTTCAATGAAGTGTGAGCTTCGTGATCAATTCCACTATCTAAACAATCTAAACTAGGGGAGGTGACCGCCAGAGTCTGACTAATTTCACATTCCATCCCATTATAATTCAAATGAGGCAATAATATCACTTCTTGTTCATTGTCGCGCCCAAAATTTGTTTGAACCTTGGAGTCCAAAGCATTAGTGGCATCCATGTGCTCATCTAACTGACTCATGAGTTCATTAATTTGGCCTCCCTCTGTAAAAGGCACTTCCACCTTTATGGTATCTGGCAAAAAATTGTTTTGGCCATGCATTTCATTATCATCCATTTCATTCAGCCAATTTGTAGTTTCAAGAGTTACAGATAACAAATCCGGATCTGGAGCCCTACAAAGAATGATGCCATCAGAAAATTTAGAACTTGAAGGCTTTATAATTTCAGCCTTTTCATTCGTTGCAGCAGAATATGTGCTGAAAACATATCTGTCACAAATTTCAGGATTACCACTTCCATATTCTTTGGATATAGAAGAAGACAAGGTAGAGATTGTTTTTACACATGCACCAAGACTATCAGTTGCATTTTCATCCCACGTCAAAGACCTGGAATTATGTTCCCCTTGAGTTCCAAGGCCATTGGTTAAATGATTCCTATTAGATGATGAACAAAAAAGTTCAGCAGCTTTGGTTTTCAATCTGTCTACACGTATATCATGCCATAGCATCTGGCTAACTGTATTTACCATTTCAAGCTTTCCATCACAACCACTGAAAGCAACTTTATTGTCATTATTGAAAACGCTATCAACTTTCTTTGTGGTTTCTACATCTGGGGCAAGCATACCATCATACATTTCCTTGGACATTAATTTAGGTGAATCCTCCACTTCGATACAACCAGATCTTTTGTCTGAACCAGGGATTGATAATGTATCTGAAATGGACGCCTCATCAACTGAAAAGCTTAGCCGGTCTGTGATTAATGACCCAAGCTGTATGCTGCTGTCAATTTGAACATTAAAAGGTTTAGTTAAAAGTAAACAAACAAAACAGAAACAGTAACAAGCCAATTAAATATAACTTGACATTGAATGCAAAGAGAGATTTCCTACCTCCTACCACGCAGGGTCATATTTATAGAATGATGAGCAAATCCATGCAGTCCTCTTGCTCTTTGCTTCTACCAAAAAAATAAATTAAAAATCTAACTGTATTACAAATAGAAAAATTCCTCATGATGTGACTGCTTTGAAGTAACTAACAATTTTCCAACACATGTAAATATACAACAAGGTGGTACAGGAAAGGGTGTATAAATATCGTTATAAACTTTTGTTGGCATGTTTGATATGCATGAATAGAGTGAAGAACCATGGAAATTAACACATAAAATAATCATTGGACTTTCATTTTAGTTTTGTATAAAAATTAAATAAACAAGAAATTTTAGTTGAATGAACTCAATTTTTTGTTGTAATTGTTTTCTCTTCGAAAGTTTCAATTTTCCATCCATGTATAAATTGCCGAAATACCTATAATTAAAAATTTTAAATTGGGCTCATGCAGAAACCCCCCTTATGTTTGTATCAGGTTACCATGCTTTATGCAGTTGTAGCAATTGCTGCTGATTAGGGGGTTGTGTTTCATGTGTATTGCAATTGGCGCCTACCTCCTCCAGCCATTTTCCATCTGTTCATGGTATGTTTACTATAGCTGATCCGGCTGGCTCTTTCTAAACCAGATAATCCCCTGTAGAAGACATTAGTTAGGCGGTTTCTTTCTGTGACCGAATCTCTTCATCATAATTGAGATTTTGGATCCCAGTTTCATTTTCCGGTTTTATGGTGTTGCTGGAGACTGAAGATGTTTTGTGTTGGATAGGATTGGCAAAGTTGTTGAACTGCTTTTTCTTTTTCTTTTTTTCTCTCTTTTTGAATTTTGTGAAACTGTTAATTATAGGTTTAGATTTGATTATAAATTGGTTTCTTCTAATGTAAAATCCATTCAATGTCTTCATTGTAAAGAGAGAAGAAATGGAGGAAGAAGAAGCAGAAAGTGAGGAAGAAGCTTATGGTTTATTCAGAAAACCGAGAAAGATGTATTCGGCATTTATACAGCAGAGGCAATACGCATAGCAGCAAAAGGTAATGTTTACAGTAATCAGTCCATAGGTTGGCAGTCTACAGTAGTGCTATTTATAAGCTAGATAATATTTTTTAGAGATAAGTGGTTACAGGGTAAAATGGGAAAAGCAATTCACGTGGTAGTAGAGACTTCCCTGTTAGAAAATGAGGTGAGGTTATTATTAGCCCCCATCAAGCTGATGCTGATTGGTTTAAGTGTCAACTTGTCATAAATTAACAGGAATCTAGGAGTTGGTAGTGAATTGGTGAATATGTCAGCACACTGATCCCCGGTTGATATGTGTATGAAATCAACCCCTTTGGATTGCACTTTTTCGCGTAAGAAAGGGCAGTCAATCTCAATGTGTTTGATACTGGAATGGAATATCAGGTTGCGGGCATGGGTCAGTGCCGAGGTATTGTCACAATGAATCCTTGTTAGTGATGGAATGGAAACGTGTAGCTCAAGCAGCAACCTTCGGAGCCAGATAACGTCAGGTGGAAAGTGCACCGTGGTCAGCTTGTTTCTTCACTTTCCATGATATTAGATTGATGTCGAGAATTATCGAAATGGTCCCCAATACCTTCATAGAAAATGCAGCTTTGAGTTTGACCAACAGTGTTAAGAATGTCGCTGTCATTCATTGTTATCAAAATGTCATCAACGTATGAAAGTAGATGAATAAGAGGAGTTATGTGTGTATATTAGTAGGGACGAGTCCGCTTGGCTTTTGTGAAAGTTGACCTGATATAAATGACTAGTGAATTTAGTAAAACATTTGGCGAGGCGATTGCTTGAGACCGTAGATGGCTTTCCTCAACCAGCATACATGATGTGGTCTGCTTTCCTCAATATATCCTTGAGTTTGATATATGTAGATGGTTTTATGAAGGCCGCCGTGGAGAAAAGCATTTGATACATCAAGCAGTAGAATTGGCCATTGATGAGTGACAGAAATAGTTAGAAGAATTTGGATGCTGGAAAGCCGGGCCACCGGGCTAAATGTTTTGGTGCAGTGTAGGCTATACTCTTGCTTGTAGCGCTTCGCCACAAGTTGAGCTGTGTTTGCTAATTGCCCCATCAAGATGACACTTGATTTTATATGTTCATCGATTGCCCAAAATAGATCGAGTAGATGGCTGCGAAACAAGCTCTCATGCTTGTTTTTGAAGAACATCCATTTCCGCTTGCATAGCTCGCGCCAATGGAAATAAGGATTTGCTTCAGCGAAGGTAAGGGATTGATATTCAGGGTAAATAGAGTAATGTAATGTGAAGATGTGCTTAGATTTACGTGAATCGATTTTTGATCTTGTGATCATTGTGTGACCCAATGTGGTTGTAGGAGCTGGCTGGTAAGAACTTATGGGTGATTGAGATGTAGATGGTAGTGGAATGATATTTGGAGGTATTTCAATTTCTGAATGAGAGGATTGTGGAGGAGGATTAGTGGAATGTTGTGATCTGAGTTGATCTGGTAGAGAGTGCAGTTGCTTGATAGGGAGAATAAGATGAAGAGTTGACCAAAGAAAAATATGTTGAGATTTTCATAC